CGCGTGCGGTGTCGCCGTGCGTGAGCATGTCGTGCGTACGGTACCTTGTGTGCCCTCACTCACCTCACTTAACCTTAATATAACTAAGTAGATGGTTGAAGAATATAGGCTAAACTTGACTTAAGAGTTTGGACAATTTCCAAACACATGATTTATATATGGAACCGAAGGCTTAAGAAATGAAGAATGCGTTAGCCAATAGCTTGCCTTCAATTGCTGTACATATGGCATTAATTTGGAGTAAAAATGGATTAGTCACCACCTTACTTGCTTAGTTATAGGTTAAATAATGTAGTAAGGACACATCATGCTTATAATATGAAGACTAAATTACATTTTTCCCACTTAATAGCTCACGGCTTTTTGGGAAATTAATGGACATGATTTGGCTTATATTATCTTAAGCATGATCATATAGTTAATTAAGCACAATAACATGCTTAATTAATTACTAACACATGATTGATTTGATTAACTTGGTATTTAAATACCAAAATTAATCCGAACATAAACGTGATCTTCGAAAATTAATTCGAATATTCATGACTTGGTCGATTAATCCGAATATCGACATTTTGGATAATTCGTCAACTTAACTTATTAATTCCGAACTTATTAATTAATTAAATAAGTCAGAATTAAATCTGAAACTCATTCGGTTACTGGGATAATCAAACCGAATAGCGTATCGACTAATAGTCGAACTTGAAATACAACTAGCTGATTAACTTGAATTTGAACATGAACATGATTCTTTATTAACAAAGGCTAGCTTAAAACTAAAAGCTAGTATTTTTCTTTACTAATAAAATATGGGGCGTAACAATCCACCCTCCTTAAAATATTTCCGTCCTCGGAAATACTAAAACTGGAATGTACAAGCTTAACATAAAGCTTATAATTACCGCTGAAATGGCTTGAGAATTCAGTATTAAATACTGAACATTAGACTTGATCTGAACTGAGGAATCATCAATTCACAATTAAGTGAATTGTTAATTACAGCTGACTGAGAATGGACACTCTCCTGAAATAAATTGTTTCACTTATTACACATGATCTCAAAACATAATTCTTGAGCGTACTGGTCATCATTTCCTGGCTGCTTGCTAATCTTTGGTCTGAACGCTGGTTGTGGAAAAACCCCAGTCGTTGGTACACACGGAAAATTTCAGAGATACACACATGTACAAATGAGGATAACTATCAATATTGGTAATTACCTTTCGTAAACATCTACTCGATAACGTGGCACATCGTTCGCGGCACATTGTAATGCGGCACACCTGCTCCTCATCAAGTGAGTTCGGCACACCTGCATACAGCACCTGGCGAACATTGCACCTGCATCGTCAACATAGTCTGTATAACTGATCATATCTGTACCTCAAGCTAGTAACCTCAATGTACTATAATGCTAACTCTCTGTGATCTCCCAGTGTACTGTGATTCAG